CTGTTTTCCCTTTTTTTTTTTTTCGTTTGTGTATTTCATTTTTTCTTCTTTCTTTTTCGATCGTGTGTCGTCCCTACAGAAGCGGGGCCCGGCCTTGGCGCCACGACCGGGCCTTCCCTTGGCCGACCAGCCTGAGGCTGCGGCGCATATACGGGAAGGCCCGCGGCCGAACACTGAGCGAGGTACTGGTGGTTTAACAAGGGATTTAAATTTACAATGTTCGATCGGAACCAAACCCGTTGCCCATGAACAGGAATAGCTGCCTCCAAAAGGGTGTGAGCAGAGGAATGGCAGGTCAGCCCGCCAATGGGTCCAGGGGGGCAACTATAGCCTATAGGTGATACTACCGTGATAGTATGAGACTCCAACACAGGAACAGCCTGAGGAAGGGTTGCTTGCTGAGGTGATTGGAGAGATTCTGAAGCAGTTGGCTACTTGGAACCTCTGACCAAGTCTCACAAGGGAGACAACTGGAAAAGTGGGACGCGGGGGTTTCAAGTTGGATGCCAGCAGGAATCCATCACAGGGAGGGGCTGTTATTGGACTGGGCTAGAGGGCAAGAGGAGCTCATAAGTTTGGAAGGGGAGTTCACAGCCCTATGGGAAATAGATGGAGCAGCCCGATGGACAAGCTTTTAAAAAAAAAAAAAAAAAAAAAAAAAAAAAAAAAAAGAAGGAGCTCTACATAACTGAGATGTATAGCTACAGCCCTCTGAACTGAAGATGCAGGGAAACACAGGCTGTCAATGATGTTCTAAGGGACGCTGGACCCGGTTTCAACCAGGTGCCGCTCCGGCGCTCCCCACCTATAGAAAGGAGCACCCCAACAGGCAAAGCCTTAATCCCGGTGGTTCTCTTACCACCACCAGGATAGAGGGCTTGAAAATGGGCTCCGATGTGTCTGCCCTCTTCTGCTTTTTTTTTTCTTTCTGATTTTCTATATGGAAAGGGAACAGGAAAAAAAAGGCACCTTAGGGTCTCGTTCTACACCACTTGGAAATTGCTATTTTTCAAGGAAGCATCGTTCGACCCCGCCCTAATGACGCACCCTTGAAGTCGCTAATTGTTTCCACATCCCCGCGGCCAAGTGTCCGCCCTTGAAACGAAAGTGCGGCCCAGGCAAATCGACCGAAATCGAAAGGGAGCCTCGCGAGGTCACTTGGGGCGCAAGGGTTTCGCCCTTTGGGACGCGTGAATCACGGTTTTCGGCGCTTTCGTCCTTCTCTCCGTGGAGGCAGAACTGTTCCTGGTACAAACCAGCTTTTGTCTGACATTCGCAGTGGGACTGTGGAACCGGGGGCGGTACCAACGGCAACCGGAGGTGCCAGTTTCGGCAGCGAAGGGTCATCACGCCGACCGTTACAGGGCGGAGGCTGTGTTGCGGGGAACGGTAGTGTGTTTTTTCAAATTCAAACCAGCGTGCCCCGGGCGCGATGCGGCAGTGCTGCGTTTCCTTGCATGACCGTTGTTGTGCAGAGGAGCAAACGGGCAGGTTACAGCGTCCCGATGCGGTTGTGTGTGTCCTCTGGCATGGCAGTAGCGAGTCACGTGGCCAGCATAAAGTGCACGATCATGGTGGCTGTGTGCGTTGTCCATCTATGTAACACCCGCGGACGCGTCCGTGGGGCCGAGCTCGGAGGGCGGACGTATTCACGGCCGCCTCCGCGGCCTACCGGGTCCGCGCCGCGGACCTGATTTTACCAGATTTTTCCTGAATTAAATAATAGGCCAAAATATATATATATATATATATATATATATATATGGGGTTGTAGGGAATTTTAAGCCCTACAACCCCATATTTTTTTGTTTTGAAATCCGACTTTGTTTAGGATTTTCAAAAACTCAAAAACTAAATTCGATTTAAAGAAAATCAAAAAAACAAATATAAAGAAAAGCTGGAATTTTTTTTTGTCATTTTTTATCATCAGATATATGGTCCCTGAGCTCACCTGTATTTTTAAGAAATGAGTTTCTTTTTTTTGCAGGGGTATGAGGTGTTTGAGAAAAATAAAGATGCAAAATTTGAAAATAAATAAACAAAAAACTTGAAAAAAAAGGTTTGATTGATTGATTGATTGATTGATTGTGTGTGAGTGTGTGTGTGTGTGTGTGTGTGTGTGTGTGTGTG